AAAAATGACAGATAAGTTTGATAATTATCTTCATGAAATCCATTTTATTACCTGTTTGGGATCAAATCCAAAAATGTGTAGTATAATTGCAAGTAAAATCTTGAATGTCTCGGCAGAGCATGCAAAGAAAAGGTGAAAATATATGTTCTGTTTACAGGTCAGAAAAAAGTCTAGAATGGTCAATATATAGGTCAAATATAAAGGTGAAGTAAAGTCAACTTATTGGTCAAATATAAAGGTCAAGTATGGTCAATTTACATGTCATAGATAAGGTTAAGTATGGCCAATTTACATGTCAAAGATAAGATTAAGTATGGTCAATTTACATGTCAAAGATAAGGTTAAGTATGGTCAATTTACATGTCAAAGATAGGTCAAGTATGGTCAATTTACATGTCAAAGATAAGGTTAAGTATGGTCAATTTACATGTCAAAAATAGGTCAAGTATGGTCAATTTACATGTCAAAGATAGGTAAAGTATGGTCAATTTACATGTCAAAGATAGGTCAAGTATAGTCAACTTATGGGTCAAAGACAAATATCAAGTATGGTCAATTTACATGTCAAAGATAAGGTCAAGTTTAGTCAATTTACATGTCAAAGATAGGTCAAGTATAGTCAACTTATGGGTCAAAGACAAACATCAAGTATGGTCAATTTACAGGTCAAAGGTAAGAAAGCAATGTACCAGTGAATGTACAGCTCAGAGAAAAGGTAAAATATGTTCCATGTACAGGTCAACGTTAAAGGTCAGGTATGGTCAATTTACAGGTCAAAGGTAAGAAAGCAATGTACCAGTGAATGTACAGCTCAGAGAAAAGGTAAAATATGTTCCATGTACAGGTCAACGTTAAAGGTCAGGTATGGTCAATTTACAGGTCAAAGGTAAGAAAGCAATGTACCAGTGAATGTACAGCTCAGAGAAAAGGTAAAATATGTTCCATGTACAGGTCAACGTTAAAGGTCAGGTATGGTCAATTTACAGGTCAAAGGTAAGAAAGCAATGTACCAGTGAATGTACAGCTCAGAGAAAAGGTAAAATATGTTCCATGTACAGGTCAACGTTAAAGGTCAGGTATGGTCAATGTACAGGTTTGTGATAAAGGTCAAGTATGGGGATTATACAGGTCAAGTGTGGTGATTGTACAGGTCAAGGAGCAAGGTCAAGTATGGGGATTGTACAGGTTGACAGTAATATAGGTCATGTACGGTCAATATTAATGTGCAGGGTGATAAAGGTCAAGTATGGTGATTGTGTACAGGTCAAGTGTGGTGATTATGTACAGGTCAAGTGTGGTGATTGTGTACAGGTCAAGTGTGGTGATTGTGTACAGGTCAAGTGTGGTGATTGTGTTCAGGTCAAGTGATTGTGTTCAGGTCAAGTGTGGTAATTGTGTACAAGTCAAGTGTGGTGATTGTGTACAGGTCAAGTATGGTGATTGTGTACAGGTCAAGGATAAAGGTCAAAGAAGGTGAATGTACAGGTCAGGGATAAAGGTCAAGTATGGTGATTGTGTACAGGTCAAGGATAAAGGTCAAGAAAGGTGAATGTACAGGTCAGGGATAAAGGTCAAGTATGGGGATTGTGTACAGGTCAAGGATAAAGGTCAAGTAAGTTGAATGTACAGGTCAGGGATAAAGGTCAAGAAAGGTGAATGTACAGGTCAGGGATAAAGGTCAAGTATGGGGATTGTGTACAGGTCAAGGATAAAGGTCAAGTAAGTTGAATGAACAGGTCAGGGATAAAGGTCAAGTATGGTGAGTGTACAGGTCAGTGATAGAGGTAAAGTATGTGAATGTACAGGTCAGTGAAAGGTCAAAGATTCTAAGTTTGGGTAGGTGGAGAACATGTTTAATTTTCCAAATATCTCTTTATACTAGCTGGTTTTCAAAAAATCTGGTTAACCTCTGTTTTGATAAAAGCCTAATGCTTTGGTATTCATTTACAATGTTTTGTAACCAGAACACTAAACAACAATGACAACTAAAGCAATGTTTAGAATTTCAAAAAACTGTAATATAACAGTTAGGTTATGTTTGAAGGTTTTTTAGGTCACCTGAGCTTTAGCTCAAGTGACCTATTGCTATCCGTTTTCGTCCGTCGTCGTCCGTCGTCCGTCGTCCGTCGTACGTCGTCCGTCGTCCGTTAACATTTTACATTTCAAACTTAAAGTCAAGTTCTGCTGGGCCGATTGAACTGAAAGTTGATAGGAATGATCGCCTCATGGTCCTGACAAAGTGTTGTTATTTTTCGGGTCGATCAGAAATCCAATATGGCCGCCACGGCCGCCATTTTGAAAACCTATTTCAAACTTAAAGTCAAGTTCTGCTGGACCGATTGAACTGAAAGTTTGTAGGAATGATCGACTCATGGTCCTGACAAAGTGTTGTTATTTTTCAGGTCAATCATAAATCCAATATGGCCGCCACGGCCACCATTTTGAAAACATATTTCAAACTTAAAGTCAAGTTCTGCTAGGCCGATTGAACTGAAACTTTGTAGGAATGATTGACTCATGGTCCTGACAAAGTGTTGTTATTTTTCAGGTCGATCAGAAATCCAATATGGCCACCACAGCTGCCATTTTGGTAAACTATTTCAAACTTAAAGTAAAGATCTACTTGGCCGATTGAACTGAAACTTTGTAGGAATGATCGAATCATGGTCCTGACAAAGTGTTGTTATTTTTCGGGTCAATCAGAAATACAATTTGGCTGCCATGGCCGCTATTTTGCTACTAAGTTCTAATAGGCCGATCTCACTTAAAATTGGTCTAGGAATGATCAGCTCATGGTCCTGACAAAGTTAAGTTAACATTATACTATTTTTTACTCAAATTGGTACATATTTCAACAACAAAAATAAATACTATAGACTCAGGTGACCGTTAAGGCCCATGGGCCTCTTGTTTCTAATACGATCAAGAATTATACTCTATTGCTTGAACACTCAAACCTCAACAGGACAGCCATTTGGTGGGGTTTTATAAAAATAATTGTCTTTATATCAACTTGCTGACATATTGAGTCAAAGTCTTGTCTTACATATGGTCAAGCATGATAAAATGTACACTATTTACAACATGATTAATATTTTTGAAATTGACGATTGGAAATGAAAAATGACTGTTTGATTTTACCATTAATATCTGACTCACTCCTGGATGTCTATGTGAGAACAGAGAGAACAACGCTGGTGATTATTACAAAGGAGACTAACAAATAGTACACTTTAACAGATCAGGATGTTTAACAGAACGAGATATGAAGTAATTCCCAGCAAGACAAAAAAATCTCCCTATTATTTCTAGCTGCTACAGTGTGCTGGAGTGTGAGTGTTGTTGGTGCTAGTGCCACTGTAACTGATAGTGCTGTTGCCTGCTCCTCCTCCGTCCCCGCCACACTTCACAATTCATTACACACAAATTGATATGTTCCTTTAATTAGAGTCCTTTCACATGCCTGTTAATTTAACCCTCATTAACATGCCATACTGGGATCGTCTTTCATTTTCCTAATTATTTTATTTCACAGATTCATTATAACACTATTAAAGGCTATACTATACTTTTCTTGACTAAAAGTTTAATCGTTTAGTAATTAGTTCGCAGAAAAACACCATCAGATTGGGATTCCCATCCTCTGCCATCATGAGCAGACCCAATATTTAATTAGTTTTATGAAATCACTTACAATATTCATGTCCTCCTATCTTTTATAATTTTAGATGATGTGTATTTAATTTAAACTTAGTTAAATCCAAGAGTACCATTATACATATGGTCTCTACACCCTTTGAATATGTCATGACAAACTCAAATGATACTTGTAAGTTGATTTGTCAGGAAACTTATAGAATCTTGCATACCAGGTACCAGAGTGCGATCTCTCCAGTAGGAGATGCACAAAAGTAAAATAGATCATGTTTGATTTTGGTGTACTTCAGAAGACCCGTCTCAGCCCAGCTATTGGTCAGATTTTATGTATGAAACCAATCAAATGGCAGACCATGAGCCTACAATTTGTTTCAAGGGTGCAGAGAGTTGTTATGGGAAGAGGAACCCCTGGATTTCAAAGTGACAAGATTAACCTAAGAGCACAATTTGATTGAAAGTTTAAGAATTGATACCATTTATGTATTGTAGGCTTTCCCAACTACATGATAAACAAATACATGTCACATTTTACCCATCAGACAGTTATTGTCAGCCATGGCCTTTTGATTGAATTTTCCTCAGCTTTCCGGAACATTAATCTGAAGGTTAAAAATGAAACAAGACAGCAAACTTACCTGGTTATGTGGTTCATTTTTCACCAAAATAACACAAGGAACTGAGGCTGAAGGTCAGGGTCACCTAGTTCTTCACCTTAAAGAAACTTTGGAAGCTCAAAATCAAGAAACCTTTATTAGATTAATCCCAACCCCACCCCAAAACAGAAGTCATTGGTTGTATGAAGAAACAGACACTATTAATTTGGTGTTGTTTTCATCTAATGCTCAAATTTTATTTTTTGAACAAGAAACGATATTTCCTACAAATGCTATCTTTTCATTTTGCTGTGAAACACATGTAATAATACATTCATTTTTACTGAAATTTCTATTTTTTCTCACTCAAAGCCATAAAAAATCCCTGACCATATGTCACAGGAAACAATACAACAATACCCTAGCCTGAACCTGGTACTGTTGTTCAGCTATGACCTGCATTGATAACCTTTTAAGGCTACAACATTTTGGAAATATAATAAAAATAAATAGGTTTATCCAATGTCAAATAGGACGAGACATGATGTCACATGTTTTACAAGAAGTCACTAAAGGGTACCATATGGATTTGGACCAGTTGTTTCATACTTCAAAGATAAAATTAAAGAAATCATTTTACTGATTTTACAGTAAGACATGAGCAAAATGAAAAAAGGTTCATAAAATAATTTACAAAAACGTGACACTCCAAATTACCCCAAAATTCTAGAAAGGGTGAAAATTTGTGGTTTAATAAGTATTATTAAACTTTGTTTATAAACAATTGTGTCTTCATACTTCAGTTCAGTCATTCATTCTACTTAGTTGCTTACATATGGGCATGTATCCATTGCCCAGTACACTTAGTCAACTACATGAACTATGACCTCTGTCTGGGTCTGTCATTATGCATACTAATTAGTGCGTGCTATATTTAGCTTCACTTGGAGATGCTGAGCTGACCTGTCCACATCTCCCTGTGTTTTTCATTGTTCGAATTGGATTTTTCCGCCAATCACCATCACTTTTCTACACTTTACTATGGAGCATTACTCATTCATATCTTATTTCGTTGTGTGATACGTTTCCCACTTGGATGTACTTACATTTTGCGTGTTTTTTATCGACTTTTCCCAGAGGAGGGGAACCCATTCTGGACGTGTTTTATTACGGCGCATAAATGAAGACCGTCTCATATCCATCCGTACGATAGACACCCTTTACCCTATTAACAATTTATTACGGAACATTGTTGTTTGATTTCTTTAACCGTTGTGTAATACGTTTCTACCGGGAGGTACCTTCATTTGTGTGTTTTTATTGACTTATCCCCGGCGGGAGAACTTTTATTGGGCGACTTCACTATGGCGCCTAAACGGAGTACGTCTCGAATTCATCCGTACGATTCCACAAATCCCGCTAACTGGACAGCGAAACAATTAAAAGAGGAACTTTCTAAAAAAGGAATCACCGTTTCCCATTCGAGCATTACACGAGCGGCACTGATTCAAATGTATAAGGACAATTGTTTACTTTCTGTGTCAAGGCCGTCGTCGCTTCAGACGAATGTAAACAATGGACTCGGAGATAGACTGTCTCGTCAAACTGGACAAACCCTTTCCTCTTTTGATTCGGACGTTACAAATACGCATTCTGCTACCGTAACAGACGCTGTGGTCACGAGGAACCAACGTAGACCATTGGTTTCATTACCACAGGAGAGCGAACTCTGTCTTGATGCGGACGCGGAGCCCTCTTTTTCTTTGGGTGACGCGAGGAGTGATTTGGCCCGCACTTCTCCCCCAAGTGACCGCGCCACCGCTACATGTGCTGCAGCGCGTAGGGATTCTACATCACCACCAACAAACATGGCTGCGCCCATACATGTTGTTCCAGACCAGGACACTGCGTCGATCTTGACTCGGACTCTCTCTCTGATGGAGATGACATTTAAAGCTTTTCAGTCCACTCAACTTGCCACGTCTGCCGAACCCGCCTTCGACATGATGACGGCGTATACCAATCTCAGAAATATCAGGAGCGGCGTAGGCGACAACAGGACGTCAGGGGCTACGCTGGATACTTTAAGACAACATGCCGATTCTGACGGTATTCCCGCTGACCTCCTCCCTCAGATCGACATTGTGTCACCAGCCTTGAGGAAAAAAATTATCCAAGGTAAGGATGTCAATCTTGCCAATCTCCTTGTTCCCGGTACCGAGTCTCCTATGCCCGATCGTGACTTGCATACATCAGGCCGGCGAGGTAAACATTCAGAACTCACCATATCTGAATTCATCACTGCCTTCGGAATCTACAAGCGTGTAGTGACCGACGCCTTTCCTAGTAGGAGAGATGAACTTGATAGGTATGAAGCTATCATAATTCGCCTCAACAACACTCATGGTGCAACGGCTTTTAACGAGTACCACCGCATGTTCTCAGCTAGGGCAGCTCAATACATTGAGCAAGAAAATTTCAAGGTCAAATGGGGTATGCGCGACAAGGACATTTACGATTCTGTTGTAGCAGGACGCCGTCCCATCACCTGCAACACCTGCCGTAGTGTGGAACACTCCACTCACAGATGTGATCAGTTTAATGGGAACAAACACTCTAATGGATCAGATAGAGATCAATCCAAAACGGACAAACGTAATCGCCCAAACGTTTGGCACAACGGGCAGGTGATATGCAACAACTTCAACTCCAAAGGTTGTACTTGGTCTACTTGCCAACGAGCTCACATATGTGCAAAATGTTTCAGTGAGCAGCACGGAGAGAAATCCTGTCAAAAAAATAAGGACAAACGTACCAATCCCGAGACCAATGCAACAAATAATAAGTGACTAGTTTCTAGAGATGTCATGGACAGGGAATTTTCCTCTTGCAGTTTCAGAGCGTCAACCCCTATAAACATTGATAGACTCAAAACAGAATTAACTTTTCACCCTGATAAGGTTTTCGTTAATTATCTATGCGACGGCTTGAAAGAGGGTTTTGACACTAAAGTTTCACCATTACCACAGTGTACACATGAATCACGTAACAATCGCTCAGCTATAAACAATCCAGAGTCTGTGTCAGAACTTATTACTAAAGAGTTGGATAAAGGATTCGTCATCGGCCCTTACCAAGTGCCGCCTTATAACATTTATCGTGTTAGCCCCCTGGGAATAGCCGAGCACAAGTATTCTAGAAAGAAAAGACTTATTTTGGACTTGTCAGCTCCGCACAATTCTACTGTTACAGATACTCACAGTATTAACGAGTTAATAGACAAGTCTGAATGCTCTCTCCAGTATGTCAAAGTTGACGATGCCATTCGTACCATTCAAAATTTAGGTAAAGGAGCTATTATGTGTAAAGCTGACATTTCGGATGCTTTCAAGAATATCCCTATCATCCCATCACAGTGGCATTTGTTCGGTTTCCGGTGGAACAACTTGTACTATTTTTATCATCGTTTAGCCTTCGGCTGCCGCTCCAGCCCCATCATTTTCGATCAACTGTCCATTGCAGTGTGTTGGATCGCCAAACATAATTATGGTATGACACATATTTTTCATTTACTTGATGACTTTCTAGTCATTGACACCCCGCAAGCCCAAGGGGAGAGAACCATGGCCCTCCTGACTATGTTGTTCAAACGTTTGATGATCCCATTATCTCCTCATAAAACTATGGGACCCTCCACAGTCATGGAATACTTGGGTATTATCCTGGATTCGGAAAGGATGGAAGCACGCTTACCTACAAACAAAGTGCTTAGAATTACAGAGTTCTTGCGTGGCATGCTTGCTAGGACATCGTGTACTAAACGTGAGTTGCAACAGCTCCTCGGTCATCTTAATTTTGCAATGCGAGTTATCCTGCCAGGCCGCAGCTTCATCTCGTACCTTCTTGCACTGATGTCCGCCCTAAAGGAGCCACACCATCATGGAAGATTGACCCGAGAGTGTAAAGAAGACATTCGTATGTGGCTCAAGCTGCTCCAAGACTGGAACTGTATTTCTTTCTTTTATGAAAGCCATTTTACCAGCAATCCTGACTTCGAACTGTTCACTGATGCAGCATCGACCGTCGGCTTTGGGGGAATATTTCGTACGGAATGGTTTGCGTCCCTCTGGCCTAAGGAAGTCGTTGAGGCCTCTGGGGACTCGGCCCCATCTATGTCCTTCCTCGAACTTTACCCAATAGTGGTAGCTGCTCTACTTTGGGGGCAAGCCTGGTCCACCAAACGAATCTTATTTCATTGTGACAATAAGGGTACCGTCGATATCATAAACAAAGGGAGGTCTAAATCGCCGCGTATCATGTCCCTTATGCGTCGACTAACTTGGTGTGCAGCTAAACATAATTTTACTGTGAATGCTAGTCATGTGGCAGGTGTGAACAATAATATCGCTGATGCTCTTTCTCGCTTTAAATTCCAGGAGTTCCGGAGAGCAGCACCTCATGCCAACAGTCGCCCATGTCCCTGCCCAGAGTTCTGTCAAGTAATGTGGAATTAAACCAAACAGTAAACGACCTTTGGGATTCAGCTCTTACTTCAAGTACGCGAGGGGTTTACCATACAGGCTTCACCGCTTACAAAACTTTTTTACTTCTTAGCGGTGTCAATTGGTTGTGTACTATGCCACCAGTGTCTGAAGATCTATTGATGTTCTTTGTCGCACACTGCTTCAAAACCCTCAATATTAAAGCATCTACTATCAAACTGTATTTGTGCGGTATTCGTTACTCATATATGCGGGCAGGTCATGCTAACCCTCTGGTTGCACGAGACGGTCAAGCCTTCATCAGACTCAACACTATCCTCAATGGAGTGAAGAAACAGCAAGGTGTTACGCGTAAACCACGCTTACCTATTACTTTCAACATTTTGGAGAAAATTTGTCTGCTACTACGATCTGGGGTGTTTTCCCCTTTCCTCGACGTGATGATGGAAACAGCTTGTACTGTCGCCTTTTTCGGTTTCCTTCGCTGTGGAGAATTCTGTGTGACTGGGGCTTTTGACCCTACTCGTCATCTATGTATGGAGGACGTGAACATCGACCTTGTACAACAATGTGTCCATATAACCCTCAAGGTTTCTAAATGTGACCCTTTTAGGAAGGGTATATCTATAGTGCTCTATAGTACCTGTAAATCTGTATGCCCTTATACAACCTTGAAGCGCTATTTGTCCCTCAGGACCACGACAGCTGGTAGGAGGTGCACAATACATGATCTAGATCCATTTTTTGTGACAGACTCTGGATCGCCTTTATCGCGCACCACGTTTATTTCCTATTTGCGAACAGTTATTTCCAGACTTGGTTTAGATGATCGAGTATACAGTGGCCATTCGTTCCGCATTGGCGCTGCTACTTCTGCTGCAAATTCGCAAATAGAGGATCATCTTATTAAGACATTAGGACGATGGTCATCTGACTGCTATCAAAGATATATCCATACGTCAAGAAGTACCATCAAATCTGCTCAGAGGTCTCTAACTGTTGACTCAAGGGACCATGTTTGAACCCCTCATCTCTTAGTCTGTGACTCTCTGTACATTCATTTTCCAGACTCATGTTATTTTTTTTTGTTTCTTTTTAAACATCAACAGGTTTGTTAGGCCTTAACATGCTTTTATCATGTGTCATAGTGAATTTCTACTAGTATATGCAGCTTTCATACATATGTATACACCATTTCTGCAGATGTATCTACATGTATACATAGTCATTAATACTAGTTTAAGCATATATTCAACTCTATCCAATTATTTGGGGCTTTCTCATGCTGCGCATAATCAATTCGGTCCATTAGCCCCAAAGTCATTGGGGTTTCATTCATTTCATATACATGTCATACACAGTTTACATCGTACAGGACCATTTTCCGCCTGGTTCTTCAGTAGGGCTCAGGACTCGCCTGGCGATGTAACCAAACTATGTATGATAGCAGTCTTTGTGGTACAGGACTTTCGCCTGGTTCTCCAAGAGGACTCAGGACCTCGCCTGGCCACAACCTGCTCATTCAATTTCAATTTCTTCATTTGTTCATTGTCTACCAGCTCTAAACTTTAATACTTACCTCATTTCCCTTAACCAGGACCGCCTTTTCCTGTTCATAGGATTAGGACTTGCACCTGGTAGGGAATCTTGAATTTATCTTCCTTCATGCTGGTAATTTTGTAATATATATATGCAGCAGCCAAGACAGCCCTAAATGCAATTTGTTTGTTTGATTTTGTTCTATGTTTTGTCTAGTTAAGTATGTGTTTGCTATGCTATGTAAATTATATTATGTGTAGAACAGTTTTGTAATGTAAATACTTAGTGATTTATTTTATAATACATCTGTAAATCTTAAAAAATCTGTGTTTGTTATTGTTTATAAAATGTGAATTATTAGATATCTGTGGATATGTTTTAAATCTAAACATTTACACATCTGAAAGGGAATTGAACCCAGGTCATATAGAAATGTGGTGGTGTATATTGGATGTGCAAATATTAAAATTTACGTTGATACATGTAATATTAATTTGTACAATTCTATTTATTTTTTTTACATTTTCTGGATTATCTCCCTTTAACAGCATCCATTTGAATGTCCTATTATATATATTATTTCTTTATAGCATCAATCAATGATGTGTTATTATTCCTTGATTTAACACTAAAAACATTCCCTAGAAACAGACTACTCTTTTGAAAAACATTATGGTAATATCATTATTTATCATATGGTCTTTACAAGGTCATACATCACAGCCAAATTTGTAAGTTCATTTTTATATCCAGATAGAAATTAACTACAATTGGATGAGTAAAAGTAAGGGATTAAATACGTAATACCTCCCCGTGAGTTAGTGACCCAGAAATTTCAACTGTCAGGATAAGATTGAAGTAGGGCGTCAATCTAGACATAAAAATTCATCTCTGTAGAGATATACAAAATGACTCTGGGTGATGGATTCTAGTTTTCTACTTCATCTTACAGGAAATGATTTTTTTATTTTTTTCATGACTTTATTTGTCTCCTCAATATTTTTGCATTGTCCTTTTATATATAACCCAACACATTTAATTGATTTTTTTTCCTTATAATCAATTATGTATATCAAAAGGGAATTACAATTAAAATTAAAAAATTAAAAAAGATTAGGAAAATGCAGTTATGGCTACCCCAGTAATGTTAATCGTTGACAATTATGTTTTACTGGTGATTGCAGCAGATCTTTGATATATCTCATTCCAGAGAAAAGCTATTGTAAATGTGCGTTGTATAGCCACGGTGTTTGATTTGCCAGCCTTAGATCTATAATGCTTCCCTGACTAATTACGATAGGTGTGTAATGAACTGATTACTGATTACAGGAGAAGGTGAGTAAGAAGTCCCTGTTCCAGCCGCTGTCGGCCAATGATACCTTTGTGGACGACTACAAGGAGAACTCGGTGCCCGGGGGTGGGGAGGCTAGGCCCGAGGGGAGGGGACACAGTGACAGGAGAGACCATGCTAATGGTGATGATGCAACCACTGCTCTCCAGCACTACAGTGGTACGGCTGCTGGCGATGAATCATCACAAACCGCCGCCACCGAATCATCTCCTTCATCTGTGGCAGAGCTGGCAGTGTTGTCCATGACTCATCCTGCCAGCCTCTGTACCAGCCAGGCCAGTACAGCACCGCGCACACGACACCCCACCCAGGCATGCTCCACGGGGCATGGACACACTAGCGCACACCTCGCACCCCCACCCCCAAGCCACGCCCAGCTCACCACCCCCGGGATTACACGAAACCAGGATTTCTACAAAACATTCAACCATGGAAGCCAAGATGTCAAAGGTTTGGCCAAGGTACCGTGTGTGGTGCCGTGCGGCCCCGTAAACCCCTACCCAGGCACCACGGCATGGACAGGATATGGAGACAGTGCCGCCAACACTAACCGTCAGCAGCTTCAGGTAAGTCAAGGTCAAATACCAAGGTTAAAATGATCTATGTTCAGGTTTCATAAATTATCAAGCTTGGTCTCCTTTTCAATGCATCTGAAAAAATTCCAATCAAAAGAGCTTGCAAAAACAAATGTTACATGCTTTTTTTATGGTACAATGTTTTATCCTTAGCCTTGTGCTTCCTGTATGTTTCCAGAAATGCATTTGCTTGAAGCTGTAAAACAAAAATATGCTAATGTTTGATTGAAGATTTTTAGGGGGCTTAACTACATATTATTATGTTGCAAGGTTACAATGTATTGGTAGTGTATGCAAAATTAGGTTAATATTTTGCATTTACTTAGCACAAAATCTCTCAGAATGTCATGAGCTTTAAAAGCATTTTACAGAGTACATTAAATTATGTTTGTCAAAAATTCAATCCTGGAAATTATTGTAACCATACTTAAATAAATATACTTTCAAGATGCGTCATTGATCCTAAATCACATTGATATCTTAGAAATATTGAGCAGATAATAAAAATGGCATGCACTAATTTAGATAATTATATTTGTTGCATTCTTTTAAAGAATACACTTTTTTCTGCAAATGCAGTTGCTTTGACCCTTGAAGCTAAATATGCAGATAGTCCTTAAAAACTGTTTTGTATGAGGCTTATTGTTGTATGATTGAGATGTTACTGCCCATGAACTTAACGTTTCACTCAATCCACACACACAACTGTGAACAGGGTGATGTCATTGGTCGTATAATTTGTTACCTGATCAACATAATCATTTATGTGAAGGTTACTTTCATCTCAAAAACTTAACAAATTGTTACAATATTTAATCCCACACTAGGATACTAACTTGCATCATGTAATCCTCCATAAAGATTAGCATGCAGAGGATCGTATCAAGAGTTATTAAGTAAAAATTTACCAATGATTTGAGAATCAAAAGTTACAAGATATTTTCCAGTGATTCAGGTCTATTACTAGGTATCAAACTATTTGCCAATGATATTGGATTTTTAGAGCAATGGAGGTATGAATGGTTATAACATATTTACCAATGTTTCAAGATGGTAGTCAAGATTTAAAGTGCTCAGTTATAGAGTATTTTGCAATGATGTTTGATTTTTAGTACAACAGTGGTATCAATACGTATTAATTCAATAGTTACATTGTGTTTGTCTATGATTTGAGTTTTCAGTACTAATAGTTATAAATTATTTGCTAGTGATTTGAGGTCGGTTTTTATTTTGTATCATTAGTAAAAAAAAAAGAGCATAAAATACACCAGTGATTTGAGTTTAAGTTACAAAGTATTGGCGGCTAATTTAAGACTTTAAGGAGCAATATCTATAAAGTATTTGCCTTTGATATGAGTCTTTAAGTATCTTTGGAATTTTTAATGTCAATAGTTATAAAATATTTGCCAGTGATTTGAGATATTTGCCAGTGATTTGAGTTATTTGCCAGTGATTTGAGTTATTTGCCAGTGATTTGAGTTATTTGCCAGTGATTTGAGTTATTTGCCAGTGATTTGCGTTATTTGCCAGTGATTTGAGTAATTTGCCAGTGATTTGGTTGTTTAGAATCAATAGTTCTAATGTATTTTTCTATGCTTTGAGATTCAGCGTTAGCAGAAGTATCGGTCAGTTACTGGAGCTTGTAAAGCAGCAAATATCAATAGCTTTTTAGAAATAAGCTTGGAATTTTCAGTGTGTAGTTAAAACATATTTACCAGTCATTTCAGACTTTTAGTGATCAAAAGGGTTGAAAAATTCTTGCAAGTGATTTAAGGATTTTACTATCAATAGTTATTTGGTTGTGATTTTAAGTTTTTAATGTCAGTAGTAATGTGAAAAAATATATATCTTTGAGTAGGGGTTTTTAATATCAAAAGTAAACTGCCAGTGATCAGAGGTTTTTAGTATAAAAAGGGGTAAAATATTTGCTGATGATTCAAGTTTTCAATATGAACAGTTATGAAGTATTTGCCTGTGATTTGAGATTTTTAATGTCAATTGTTACCAGTGATTTGGCAATTTAAATTTTTATAATTATAAAAAATTACTAGTGATTTGAGATCATAAATGTCAATAGTACTAAATATTTGCCAGTGATTTAGATTTTTTATTGTCAATTGTTATGAAGTATTTGCCAGTGATTTGAGATTTTTAGTGTCAATAGTTATAAAGTATTTGCCAGTGATTTTAGTGTCAATAGTTATAAAGTATTTGCCAGTGATTTTAGATTTTTGTGTCGATAGTTATAAAGTATTTGCCAGTGATTTTAGATTTTAGTGTCAATAGTTATGAAGTATTTGCCAGTGATTTTAGTGTCAATAGTTATAAAAGTATTTACCAGTGATTTTAGTGTCAATAGTTATAAAGTATTTACCAGTGATTTCATTTTCCTCTTGAGTGATATTCTAGAACTGTTGCTTGTTCTCAAGTGATGGCTGACATTGAAGTATTTATTTTTGCCACCATCAGGGGAATGTTGTGAGTGCTGTGACATGGGTGTGAATGACTGTTGACTGATTTATACTGTAGTTCCTGGTTAATCACTAGTCAAACCTTAAACTTCATTAGACTAGAAAATAAAATCACAATCAGCAGTACGCTCACTGCCTTCACCACTCAGATTAGACTGAATATTATACAAGAAATTACAATGTCAGTCAACGATGATATGAGAATTTTAAGAAGAAAATTATTGATTCGAATAAAAATAGTTACTTTGATTTGTCCTTAAATGACTAGACACATGGAACCATTGATGAAATAAAAGGAAATTTAAGTGATTTGGCTGCCAAATATGCTTTTTCTGTGAAACCATTTTCGTATAATGCTTATAAATGCCATAAAATGTTTGCTTGGTCCGAATCTTTACAGGATAGATTCTGTTTTGGTGTACAGCCCTAGGGAGCTAACTGAGAGATTTTGTAATTGTTTGATTGGATGACACCCTCAGATAAAGTCGACAGCACATTTGACAAGTTTCTGGTTTTACAGCAAATGTACAGAGACCTATGTGCGGCTGTAGTAACACTCAGGAGACCCAAGTGTTTTGGTAGTTACAATCATACGCCAAAGTTTATAGATCAAGTGCCTCGACCATGATACAATGATGTTATAACACTGTGAACATCAGCATGTAAGGCCGAATTCCAACTTACCAGCCGGAATATTGCCTTCTGTGGTTATTTATTGCAGAGACACTCAAATCCAACCCGACCTTCGGTAAATAGATCTCCGTAGGTCATTAGTCACTCAAACATGTTCATATTTGACCCACAGTTCAAAATATTTATCTTTTTTGTGTTAATTTTTACAGAGGCATGTTAAAATTCAACCTATATGTAGGTTTTGATAAAATAATGTATGGTCTTTATTTTAAGGAGACAGGAGATGAAATAGAAATTTCAGGGTGTTTTTTCTAAGACATCTCATCACCCCAGGGTGGCAGTTAGAATAGCCATCTCAGTGGATGAATTCCAATGATATTTAAATATATGGGATAAAGACTTTAACATTTAGTGCTTAGCATGAATAAAAAATAATTAGAAAGCATTCATCCCACTAATTGTGACATAACTGGTATTTAAAAGAATAGTGACATTTAATATTTAATTCAAAAGACATATTATCTGCTGACTAGCAATCACCTATTGTAAATGACATGACAAATGACCATTTATGTCAGAAGTATTCAAATTACAAAGATTTTTTAACTTTGGTAGTGAATGTTGCTCTGTGGTTGGTTAGTGTATTGTCAAACATAACTAGAGGTTTAGTTTTCACTCCAGAAACATATCAACTTTCAGTTTATTTTAATCGTAAATAATTACGTTTAACTGGTAAAGATACTAATTGAGATGGATTTCACATTAATTATCTAGCATTTCAATCAAACTTGTGTGTGATACCAGCACATTTAATATGACATTATGATATAATTTGATAGTTTCATAAATTCACGTATAGTCATAAATTTCAATGATTATGGAAGAGGTACACTTAAAAGCAATTTTCAAAACTGTCATCTATTTAATAACCAGTGGAAACAAATTTAATATCATCTGAGGTGTACATTATCCCGTGAAAATATTCTACATAACGAGGATTCTTTTTTAGAGATGACTGCTTCATATTGTTTGTTGGAAGATCTGCTTACATATGGAATCCTTATTCCTTATCTTAGTGATTTGGTTACTTATTGAATTTTTCTATCTCAACTATTTTGTGGAGAAATTAGGATTTGAATGTCTGCAGAGTAAATCCCTTGTAATTGACGTCGGGTAATCAGTTTATTGAGGTGTACACGAACTAGCTGTTGATTTAACTAAGATTATCGGGTAATGACGGAATACCATCGTAAGCATGAAAAGGGATCATGTAGATTTTACAGGGTTGCAAGATTCCGATGGATAAGCTCAGCTTTATGTGGAGTTCAGTGAGAGAAAAAAAAAAATCAAGTCATCATAAAAAATAGAAATTGAATTAAATTAAAACAGTCATAAAATGGCCCAGATTGTTTAACAATTTACATGGTAATAATCCCTTCATATAGATTTATCTTGATGCGCTTAGCTTTGCTTATGATAAAAAAACACATTTCAGGCAAATTTAAGGAGTTGTGAAATTCAAGGTTTATTCCTGATAATAAGACCGTAATTGATATTTTGCAGTCATTGTTACTGAAATGTATGTTCCTCAACATTTATAAGGAGTGAAATGTTGTTGTGAGCACTAGGAAGAAAGGTGTTGCATACTGACAAATGAATGTAGTTCAAGAGTTTTCATTGATATATTGAATACTTGAGTGTCAGATCCCAATTTTGTTAGATATATTGATTTTGGACAGAAATATGTGGACATTTCCAATTCTTGGTTTGATGCTGAAACGAAATGACATTGAGTGATCATGCTTGGAGGAATGAAAATACATGGTACATGCGGAAGGGAAGGACTTTCAGTGAAAATTTGATAACGTCATAACATCATCCGATATG